AGCAAAATGGGCTTCAAAACTTTTTGTGTGTGTCTCACAAAAAGAAAACAGCCTTAGATTTCTTGCAAGCATAACAGAGAAGGAGAACTCTGTCTACAGGCTATAAGCAGCTGAAGACACAAGTGAAGGATGTTCTCAACCAAAAGAGCAGCTTCTCAGAGACAACTTGGCAGTTTTCCTCCCTCTCTTCTGCACCCGTAACACATTTCAGTGATGACACGTTGCTTGGTTTCCTTCAAGACTAAGTCTTGAAGTACAAGACTTAGTGCAAGAAGTGCAAGAAAATGAGGTGCTGCAGGTTAGGTGTCAAGAAATAGAGTCCAGCTTTCTCTAGAGGAAGCTGGCTGCTGTTTATGTAACCTGAGAGAACATATCATGGTCAAAATAGGTTTGAATAAAAAACTAAAATATAATCATCTTGGCTCAGCAATGGTCCTGACCCCACAGCCCCTCAAGCACAATCTACGTAATGGTAGATGGGGTGCGGCTTCCTCCCTCATACATTAGCAGCTAGAGCGTGGGTACCCTGATACAGCAAACAGGAGCGGGCAAACGGGTGAGGCAGGTCTCTGAGGGCGTGGCACGCCAGTTTGTGCTGCAGTTTGCACAGGCAGGGCAAGAAGCCAGGGTTGCAGGCTTTCCTGCTAGTAAGTTGTACTGTGTATTGTTTGCGATGTTTCTGTTGTTTGGTAGGCTTGGTTGGTTGGTAGGATTCTGGTAGTAATGGTTTTTGTATGATTGAAAACTGTAGTCAGTACGAGTGTATGTAACCAGATGGAATGCTCCAAAAAGGATGCATATGTTCAGACCCATTCCTATGCAGAGTGTTTGAGTCACTGAGTGGTTTCAGGGGGCATTGCGGAGTAAACCTGCCTGCAGTATGAACAGGTGAACCATCTCCTTTCACTGGTGGCTGAGCTTAGAGAGGAAGTTGAAAGACTAATGAGTATCAGGGAAAGTGAACAGGAAATCGATTTCTGCTCTTCCATCCTTGAGGGAGGCCCACCAAGAGTCAGAGGACTCCCATGCCTCCCACTGTCAGGCAATAGGACACCTGGTAGATGAAGGGGAGTGGAAATGGGACCCTGCTTGGGAAGGTAATAATAAAAATTCCTCCCAACCCCCATCCCCTAGCCAGGTGCCAATTCAGAATAGGGATCTGGAGAGTCAGACAGATGATTTAGAAGAAAAGTATCTGCCCACCCAGTGAGCCTCCCAATTATGATTCATCTGTAAGATGGATCACCACCTCTAACATCAAAAAGAAAAGAAGGGTTAGTCATAGTGAGTGACTCCTTTCTGAAGTGAACAGAAGGCCCTGTATGTGAACTGGACCCCCCCACATAGAGGTCTGCTGCCTCCCTGGGGCCCGGGTACAGGATATCACTGAGAGACTTCCTGGGCTTGATTCAGCCCTCTGATTATTACCCATTGTTGATACTCCAGGCTGGCAGTGATGAGATTGAAAAGAGGAGTGTCAGGACAATCAAAAGAGACTTTAGGGCACTGGGACGAGTGGTTGGTAGGACAGGGGCTTTCCTCAGTCCCTTTGGTGGCTGAGAAAAATGGCAAAAGGAATAGGGGAGTTCACATTATCAATAAGTGACTCAAGGGTTGGTGTCATCGGAAGAATTTCAGACTTTTTGATCATGGGGCAACTTTTACGGCACCTGGCCTACTGGAACCAGATGGGCTCCACTTCTCAGTTAAGGGCAGAAGGTTGTCAGTTCATGAACTGGCAGAACTTGTTGAGAGGGCTTTAAACTAGGTTTGAAGAGGGCAGGCGATTCAGCTGGGTTGTCTGGAAGCAGGTCCAAGGGTGGTAAGCCTGAGTTAGGGGTGAAATCAGTAGCCCAGCTGAGGTGCATGTACACCAATGCATGCAGCATGGGCAACAAACAAGAAGATCTGGAGGCCGTGGTCCAACAGCAGAGCTATGATGTAATTGCCATCACATAAACGTGGTGGGATGACTCACATGGCTGGAGTACTGCCCTGGATGGCTGCAAGCTCTTCAGGAGAGACATGAAAGGGAGAAGAGGTGGAAGGGTGGCCCTTTATATTAGGGAGGGTTTTGTCGCTATAGGTATTAAAATTAATGTCTATGGGTAAGAATTAAGGGGAAGGCCAACAAGGCTGACATCCTACTGGGAGTCTGTTACCATCCACCCAACCAGGAAGAAGAGGTGGACAACTTATTCTATAAACAACTGAAGAAAGTTTCAGGTACATCAGCCCTTGTTCTTGTAGGAGACTTCAACTTGCCAGACATCTGCTGGGAACGGAATGTTCCCAGATGAAAAAAGGCAGTCCAGGAAATTTTTAGAGTTTGTGGAGGACAACTTTTTGTCACAGCTGGTGGGTGAGCCCACCAGGGAAGGGACTATGTTAAACCTGTTGTTTGCAAATAGAGATGGACTGGCGGGAGATGTAGTGGTTGGAGGTCACTTGGGGCACAGTGATCATAAAATTATAGAATTCTTGATATTTGGTGAAATCAGGAGGAACATTAAAAAAGACTTTTACACTGGACTTCCAGAGGGCAGATTTTGGCCTATTTAGGAGACTTATTCAGAGAGCTCCTTGGGAAGCAGCCCTTAAAAACAAAGGAGTTCAAGAAAGGTGGGCATGCTTCAAAACAGAGATCTTGAGGGCACAGGAACAAAATGTCCCTGTGTGTTGAAAGACGAGTTGATGAGGCAAATGTCCAGCCTGGATGGGCAAGGAGGTTTTGGAGGAACTTAGGAATAAAAAGAAGATGTATAATTTTTGGAAGGAGGGTCAAGTCTCTCAGGAAGTATTTAAGGGGGCTGCTAGAGCATCTAGGAAAAAAATTAGGGAGGCTAAAGCTCTGTTTGAACTTAAAATGGCAACTTCTGTAAAGGATAAAAAAAATGTTTTTACAAATATATCCATGGTAAAAGGAAGGGTAAGACAAACCTTTGTTCTTTATTAGATGTGGAAGGGAACTTAGTAACTGCAGACAAAAAGAAGGCAGAGGTGCTTAATGCCTTCTTTGCCTCAGTTTTTAGTGAGAAGACGCCTTCAGGACAACTGTCCTCTTGGGTTGGTCAGTGATAGTAGGGGGCAGAATGGTCCCCCCGTTATCCAAGAGGAGGCAGTCAAGAGAACTGCTGAGGCATTTGGATGTTCATAAATCCATGGGACCAGATGAGATCCACCCCAGGGTGATGAGGGTAGATGAGCTTGCGAAGCCGCTCTCCATCATTTACCAGCAGTCCTGTCTCACTGGTGAAGTTCCAGATGGCCGAAAGCTGTCCAGTGTTATGCCCATTCATAAAAAGGGTGGGATTATAGACTGGTCAGCCTGACCTCAGTACCAAGTAATGTCATGGAACAGTTTACACTGAGTGTCATCACACAGCAATTACAGGGTGCCCAGGGTATCAGATCCAGCCAGCAGGGGTTTAGGTCATGTTTGACCAACCTGATCTGCTTTTATGACCAGGTGACCCTCCTGGTGGATGCAGGAAAGGCTGTGGATGTTGATGCGTACCTGGACTTTGGTAAGGCCTTTGACACTGTCTCCCACAGCACAGTCCTGGAAAAGCTGCAGCCCACAGCTGGGACAAGAGCTCTGTGCTGGGTTCAGAACTGGCTGCATGGCCAGCCCAGAGAGTGGTAGTGAGTGGTGTTGCATCTAGCTGAGGACAGTCACCAGTGGTGACCTTCAGGGCTCTGTGCTAGGGCCAGTTCTGTTCAATGCCTTTATTGATTATATGGATGAGGGTATTTAGTCTCTCATTAGTAAATTTGCAGATGACTCTTAAGCTGGGAGTGTGTGTCAATCTGTTGGAAGGTAGGAGGGATCTGCGGGAGACCTGGAACGGTTGGAGGGATGGGCAGAGTCCAACAAGATGAATTTTAATCAGTCCAAGTGCTCAGTCCTGCACTTTGGCCACAATAACCCCCTGCGATGCTATGGGCTGGGGATGGTGTGGCTGGACAGTGCCCAGGCAGAAAGGGACCTGGGGGTGCTGGTCCACAGCCGGCTGAACACGAGCCAGCAGTGTGCCCTGGTGGCCAAGAAGGCCAATAGCTCCTAGCCTGGGTCAGGAATGGTGTGGCCAGCAGGAGCAGGGAGGTCATTCTCCCCCTGTACTCGGCACTGGTGAGCACTTGGCACCTTGAGTGCTGTGTCCAGTTCTGGCCCCTCCGTTTGGGAAGAACATGGAGACGTTTGACCATGTCCAGAGGAGGGCAACGAGGCCGGTGAGAGGCTTGCAACACAAGCCCTGTGAGGAATGACGGAAGGAGCAGGAGTTGTTTAGCCTGGAGAAAAGGAGACTGAGGGGTGACCTTATCACTCTCGACAGCTCCCTGAAAGGTGGTTGTAGTCAGGCGGGGGTTGGTCTCTTTCTCTAGCCAACAACTGACAGAACCAGAGGATACAGTCTTAAGCTGTGCCAAGGGAAATACAGGTTGGGTATTAGGAAAAAGTTTTTTACAGAAAGAGTGATAAAGTACTGGGATGGCCTGCCCAGGGAGGTGGTGGAGTCACTATCCCCGGATGTGTTTAAAAAAAGACTGAATGTGGCACTCGGAGCAATGGTTTAGTTGAGGTGTTAGGGCATGGGTTGGACTCAACAATGACGGTCTCTTCCAACCTAGTCATTCTGTGAATTCAACCCCAAGTTCTGCTTTCATTCAAGCTTGTAACTTAAGTTTCAGGGCCTGGATCACAAATGCAGTCTGCTAATGTATTCTCACCGTCTTCTGGTTTATTGGGTAGAACACACAAATTCTTTTGCAACTTCACAGTAAAGGAACATCTTATCTTGTTGCAGGAAAGGGCTGTGGGATCCAGCAGTCTTAGTGATTAAAGGGGAACAAAATTAACAATGATGGACAACTGGCTCTGCCTTTTTTTTGGATTGCACTGAACCTAGGCTCACTCAGATACTGAAACACCACCATCCACATTGCTGCAAAACCAAGGGGAAAGTCCAGGAAGGAAGTAAGAGTCCAGACATGTTATCTAAGTCAAAGCAGAATATTTATTTCAGTAACTGAAAGTGTTGATACTTGTAGTGCAATGACAAGCCAAAGTTTCTTTATGTCTACTTGCAAATGAACCATCTTCCTCAAAACATTTGTGCTTTGCTATCATGTGCCTGTTCTACAGTCCCCAGATCATGTAATGCACATTTCACACTACTGAGGATAAGGGGGCACCTCCTTGGAGTTCCACAGATAAGTTACTTCTTTATTTTGTAACTTGTGTGATATAAAGAATTCAAAGTACCTTCATTTCACTGTTTCCAACTGCAGGATTTTTAAAGTCACATTAATGTGATTCATTAATCTCACCCCAATCCCATTAATTAATGATTCTCATTTAACCCCCACAAATAAGCAAAGTGCAGCATTCTTGAACTATAACAATGGCTTCAAGCTGGAGTTGATCACAGAAAGAAATTTTGCTAATAGAAAAATGTGATTAAAAATAACACAGAAAGGTACGGTCACTGAAACATAAAAAAAAATATACTGGCACTTTATGAAGACAACAGGAACTACCTCAGGCATCCAACCAACAGTCTTTGGTCACATCCATTTCAAGGCAGCTTTATAAAAGACACCTGTCAAGGAGCACATGGTAAGTGACATAACAACAAACACGGGTGCAACACTTCTCTTGCCAGGCTCAGCAGTAGAGCAGCTCAGTTCAGAGGCCCACACTGATAGCGAGCAGCAGATGGGCTGTGTCAATCAACTGTGTGATGTGATGTGTCACAGTGTGTCGCTGTTGCAAGGCAGAAAACCAACAAGGTCAATCTTTCTACAACAAAAACTTCCAGTACTTGGAGGCTTTTCTGTATTTACATTTCTTCCAATAGAAATAGGAAAGATCAAAGGCTCAGTGCAAGCAGGTGAAAGAAGTGGTGTGACTGGTGCAATCTCAAGGCACTGAGCATCCACAGTGTGTAAGGGAGAGTGTGGCTGCAGGCAGTTCTCCTTCACCCCAGTGCTACAGGTAACCACGGCTAGCCTGAATCTACGTCGCCTTGAATTCTGGAAGTTTCAGGGGGGACCACTGCTGCCATTCATAGTATGACATTAGGGGCTTAGGCACTTCAGCCAGAACCATCTGGGAAAGTGCTTCCTGGGGAGCCTGAAAAGAGAATGGGGAGAATAAATCAGAAATACCACAAAGAACAGATTTGGTAGGCTAGTGAAACACTCTGTTAGGGAATTTGGAACACCTGCCCCGCTCATTCCGTTTTAAGAATTGCTTGCTACAGCTTTAGGAGCACTTCCAGTCAGTCTCCGTGAGCACTGCTGATGAAAACTGCTTGTTCTCACCTCAACCTCAGATTCACATAGTCTTTATGTGGCCCCAGTCTGAGTGAAAAACTGCCCCAGCCATTAGCAATGTCTCTCATTTTGGGTTTTCATTTGAATCATTCAACCCAATTGACCATGCAAAGTGCATGAACACCAATGCAAACAGGGGAAGTTGGGGAGCTGATGAGTGACTGGACTGCTTTCAACAGTAGGGAAGACTGACCTCAACTTCAATCACTCATGGGCCCCAACATCAGAGACTGACAGTATGATCTCAGTTCTTTGCCTAAATGCTTGTATCCCAGGACAGAGAACATCCCCTTTAATCCTGCAACAGCCAAGAGACAGTAGGCAAAATCAATTATACAATGAAGGCTCTCAAGAACTGCAAGACAGCAAGACACAGCTTTGAACACAGAAGCCAACAGCTGCTTGCTGCCTTGTCAAGACCATGGTCATTTTTAGGATGCATACATCCTGGCAACTGGACTCTTCTGAATTAAATTAAATAAAAAAAAAAACCCATACATTTCTGAACTGTTGGTAAGGCAAATTGGACATGCCATGTAGTCCCATGCAGCTGGCTCTCCTGTCACAGGCTTCAGAACACTGCTGTCTCCATTAAGGAACTCCATTACTTTAAAATTGGCTTCACCAACGCCAACAATGATAATGGACATGGGCAGCTTAGAGGCATTAACAATGGCTTGCCTAGTTTGGTCTAGATCAGTGATCTCTCCACCTGTGATGATCACCAAGATAAAGTATTGCTGAAAAACATGAGAAAGCATACAGTTAAGTATTTCAACACCAGAGCTCACTGAAGGCAGATAGAGCACTCCCTTATGCTAAGAAAGAAATCAAATGTTGCTGTGCATGAGACAAAACCAGAACATCAAAGAAACTTACGTTCATTCACATTTTTTTCTATGCCTAATGATTTTCATTGTGCACGTCCAATATTCTCTGTACTAGAAAAAAGAGAAAGGATTAAGTTCAATTTATAAAGAATTACATCAATTGGCAAAAAGTAACAGAGACAAAAAGTAGTACTAAATAAACACAGCTGCATACAAAATTCACTGATTTACTGTGAATCAGTGCTGTTTTACTGACTGGCATTCACAAAGGCTAGAGATATTTAATATCCCTGCCGTATAACTCAGAAAGCCTTGGTTCTTTTTTTATCAATAATTTAAATTTGAAGCATTAGAAGTATTAGAAATCTCAAAACACAACAGTGATAAATAACATGAGACATTCTAGAGATAACATGAAGGGAAGAATGACTTTTCCAGAAAGAAAGGAGTACCTCAAACCAGTGCCTTAGTGTGGTAAAGTGTTTAAAATTTCTATCATTTTCCAGAAGCTGAAGTTTAGTATCTGGTTCTGAAATGACCAACTGCTGTTTTAAAACAGCTATTTACAGACTTAAAAGGAGGCAAACACAATGAAAATCAGAAAAAACGGAATTTCCAATTCCAAAGCAGTTACACAGTTAACACAAATTACTGTACCTGATTGCTGATTCTTTATTTAAATAGTTAGGTTTAAATCTGAAAGAAAAAGTAGAGATATTTAACACATTACGAGAATTAGGAAGATTTCCCCAAAGTGCTGGGAAGGTTAAAAAATACCCTCAGAAATGCAGGAAATCTATCTCCTTAGCCCAAGTGCCTCACAGTGTGGGAAATATATTTGATATACACACAAACATTACGTAGCACCAAAAATACTGACACAGCTAGGTGATAAAACAAGTAGCACAGTGTATGTCAAAATTCTTTCTGATTGGTCTGTCACAAATGAAATCAGCTAAAATCTATCAGGACATCCAAGTCCTTCATTCTTAAGCAAAATGAATAAAGTTTAAAGAAATGAAGTAAAATTTCAACAGCAACCATGGCCACAGGAGCACACAAACGATCCATGACCATAGGGAAGCACAGATGCTCTGCAATTAGCACACTGATTGAAGAGTTCTCAGACTCCATGCCCCTATAGCAGGACGAATAGTCAAGCCCTCTGGTAGCATTTTAGAAGTTTTTCCTCAACATTCTTGAGAGCAAAATTATTTGGCACAAAACTCTGTTCTATGTGCATGCCCTACAGATGACAGAGCTTGGTAAGAGAGATTAGGGTGAGGCAACTGCTGCCTCAGTCCAACTGGTTGAACAGCCAACACAGCACCCTTGAACAATGCAACAGTAAGTACAGTTCCAGCAAACTGCAAAAAAAATTAATATCACTTGAGCAATGAAACTAATGTGTCTACCCAGTACAGGTTCATATCAGTATGTACCAAGAGAGCATCAACATGCTCTCTGTAGGCTGACAGCAGAAGAAAGAAGTTGTGATTCAAATGAGGGAAGATAATGTCAATTTACTATTCCATTCTATTCAACCATCAACATGGAAAACAGAAACATCAGTCCAAAGCAGATCCACAGTAAAGACCTTGCACTCACTGCAGCCATTCCTTGTTGCAGCAAGTGTGCTGCAAACCTTGCCATGTGGTTTATAATAGGAAAGAAGTTGGTTGGCCCGTAGAGTTGGATCTGTGGCAGAATATGGCAGTAGGCATCCACTATTCCTTGGATCCCTACAACACAAGGAAGGAAAGCTGCCACAAGAGCCCACAATTCCTCCAGTCATTATTTTATAAGCATTACTAAACAGCATAGCCCGAAACAACTCACACAGCTGTGAACTCCCAAAGGGAAAATAAGCAGCAGCACAACAGGAAATACAGGAAGCACAGAGATGAAAACAGTGGACAGCTTCAGAGATTGGATTTGCACATTTCTTCCCCATTCTACAACTTTTCACATCAGTCTTTGTGCCTTTAACATCACAAAGCTCATGATTTTAGCTTTTGAGCTGGCAGGGCTGATTGAGAAGGCTTCAAACTAGGTTTGAAGGGGGAAGGCAATAAGACCAGACTTGGCAGACATGAGCCTAGGGCTGGCATGCCAGCATTGGGGGTGAAATCAAAAACCCAGCTAAAGTGCATCTATACCCTGCTGGCTTTGAAGTGTGTGAGTTATCACCGGAACACACATGCACACTTACAGAGCCAAGCCAGGGATTCCTATGGTAATAAAAGCCAAAAGGGAAACAGCAGAAAATTATCTCAAAGGAATGATGAGTGTTCCTTCAGGAAGGCAATAAAGCCAACAGCCCAGCTAAGTGCTTTACACCAGTGCAAAGAACACAAGCACAAAACAGGAGGACCAGGAAGCCATTGGTGCTCCTAGAAAGCTACAACTTTGTGCCCTTATTGAAAGTTGGTGGGACACCCATGGGAATCCTGTCACTAGAGTACAGCTATTGATGGCTACAGGCTGTCAGGAAGGAACAGGAGATAAGGAGAGGTGGAGAGGTTGCCCTCTATACCAAGAGGTGGACTGAGTGTGAAGAGCAGCCATGTGGGTAAAAATCTGATAGAAAGCCTGTAGGTAAAAATTAGTGACCAAGGCAAGAAAGGGAACTTCATGGTTGGGGTCCACTACAGGCTGCCTGGAGCCTGATGATTAAACCTTTTGCTCCAGCTACAGGAGGCTCTTGTCCTGCTGGAGGACTTCAATTGTCCTGATGTCTGCTGGGAAAGTAGCACAGTGAGCTGTAGGCAATCCAGGAGACTCCAGGAATACATGGAAGATAACTTCTTGACCCTGGTAATCAACAGCCCTGCCAGAGAGGATGCATTACTGGATCTGTTGGTCACCAACACAAGGCAGCTAATTGGGAACATCAAGATCAGAGGCAACCTGCACTGCAGTGATCATGCATTGGTGAAATTGGCAATCTTGAGGAATATGGGTCAGGTAAGAGTAAAATTAGGCCTCTGAAAGTTAGGAAAGCAGACTTCCAACTCTTCAGGGAGACAGTCAGCGGGATCCTCTAGGATACTGCCCTCGGGGACAAGGGAGAAGAATAAAGCTTGGCTGATTTGTAAGGAAGCCTTCTATAGAACATAAGAGCTAGCAATCTCAGGAGCAAGAAATCAGGCAAGGAAGGCAAAAGACCAGTATAGCTGAGTAGGGAACTGCTGGTCAAACTAAAGGGAAAGAAACAAATGCATAGACAGCTGAAGTTAAGGCAGATCAACCAGGAAGAGTATAAACTTTGGTTGTGTAGGGATGGCCAAGGTGAAGCTGGAACTGAACCTAGCGAAGAAGGCAAAGAGGACAGTGCTTGGAAGTGTTCAAGGCCAGGCTGGATAGAACTCTGAGCAACCCTGATGGAGCGAAAGATCTCCCTGCCCATGGCAGGGGTTTGAAACTAGATGATCTTCAATATCCTTTCCAATTCAAACCATTATATGATTCTATGAAGTTGCAGGAAAAAAATAACCTAGCAAAGATATGCTGAAGACTGTGTTTATATTTCCTTGTCAATTTACCTTGTTTAATTGGTTATGTTCTAATTAGACAAGGTCAGATGCTCTTAGGAACACTAACTTTTCATTTTCTTTATGCAGAAGTTAGAAAACAATCCCTGATTGAAGACTCAACCATTTCTGTAAAAGAAATGGCAATCTCTAAGAGCTTTTTTAATGCAAAAAGCTTTTTTCAGGTTAACAAAAAAAAAATTAAAAAGTCCTATTTTAGATGGTACATACTCTTCCGTGGATCCATCTAAATTGGCCTATTCCTGGCTTGTATCAATGCAGCTTCATTTGCCACTGTCATTTACATTGTCCATCATCAGGTTTTAGCATGGTACCACTCGAAACTGCTACACAAGGACCCTAAAAGACCACAGACCCAGATCTCAGTGAGGCAGACAAGGCTGAACTGAGAAGAAATGCTTGGATTTTGGCACTGAATATCTAATAACACTTTTTGTTGGCCTAAGATCAGAGAAAAATCTTGTTCAAAAACAATTCTGTGTGACAGCATGCTGAGACATCTCAGCCCTTAAAGGTCCTGATCTAGCATTGGGAGCTGCCCTTAAATACAGCAGGGGTGACCCTGGCTGGATATGAGATACCCATCAAAGCCATTTATCACCCCACCCTTCAGCTGGAGAAGGGGGAGAAAATACAATAAGGCTCATGGGTCAAGATAAGGACAGGGAGACTGCTCAGCACCCACTGTCATAGTCAAAACAGATTTAACATGGGGAAATCAACTGAATTTGTTGCCTATCAAATCAGAATAGGATGAAAAAAAGTAAAAACTAAATCCTGAAAACATCTTCCCCTCTTCTGAGGCTCAAATTCACTGCCAAAAATTCTCTCTCGCCTCCCCCCTCAGTGCCACAGCAAATAGGGACTGTGGTCAGTTCACATGTCATCTCTGCTGCTCCTTCCTCACTCAGAGGAAAGTCTCTCCTCACTCCTCCCCTGCTCCAGCAAAGGGTCACCTCCACAGGAAACAATCCTCAATAAACTTTTCCCATATGAGTCCTTCCCACAAGCTGGAGATCTTAATGAACTGTCCGTGTAGGTTCCTCCCACAAGATGCATTCATTCAGAAACAAGCTGCTCCAGGGAAGGGCATCCATGGGCTGGTGGTGGGTATTTCCTCCCCCATGGACTTGAGGGGCACAGCTGTGTCACCATGGTCTTCACCACAGCCTGCAAGAGAATATCTGCTTGAGTGCTTGGGACACTTCTTCCTCCTTCTTCTTTACCAGCCTTGGTGTCTCTAGTATTGATCCTCTCACATATTCACACTCCTTCCCTCTGACTGCTGCCACACAGGGCTTTTTTCCCCCCTTCTAAAATCTATTATCCCACCATCACTGATGGGCTCGGTCTTTGTCAGTGATGAGTCTGTCTTGGAGCTGGCAAGCATCGGCTCCATTAGATACCAGGGAGGCCTCTGGCAGCTTGTTAGAGAAACCACTCCTGTAGCCCCCACTGCCAAAATGTTGCCCTACAAACCCAATACAACCTGAAACCACCTCCTCTGAAGAAGATGGCTATGAAAAAAAGCAAGCTTTTAAGACAAACTTTAAAAGAGAGCAGTCAAACATATCCACATTGCTGGTGAAGAAACCCTGGTTTCTAACAGTCTCAGCAGATGGTGGCAGATTCCAGAGGAATCTTAAAAAGCACAGGCACAGGGCTGAGCTGAATCCACTGGCACTTGTAACCCAGCAGAAATAACCAAGTTGAAGCAATGTACTAAAAATTTTAGTACAGATTAACAATCAATTAACTCTAGACCCCTTCACTGAAGGTTATGGAGCTTGCACAGAAATCTGCATCAACACACATCTGCTTTTGTCAGCATCAAGGTGAGATAAAGCTATATTTGCCCCATGTCTCAGTGCTGTGTTTGATTTCCACCAGTTGTGAAATAAACACAGCACTTCAAACATCTTCCCCAATCAGTGGCATTATTTATAAAGAGGTGTTCTCATCTTAGCAATAAGGGTTGCTGAGGTTGAAGTTCAAAGCAAACTCATGAGATACCTTGAGAAATGGGACATTACAAACAGACATGGACAGAACAAGGGCAGAGCATTGTGAAGACCCTACCTGCCAGCTAGGAGGAACCTGAGCTCCAAACCCAAATGCAGGAAAACAGCTTGTTGCTGGAAAGAAAGGGCAACAACAAAAATGAGAAAGAGCAACTCTGTGATAACTCACTCTTCGGTTTTACTCACCAAAAGTAGCTGAGAACAAGGCAGAATTCCTGCCATAAAGAATTGGTACATCATCTAGCTGCCCATGGCCTAGCAGCAGGTATCCAATGGTTTCAGGCTTAGGCTTGAGAGTTAATTTCTCTCAGTGCAGCACCCCACAGGACTCTCGGGAGACTTCAAAGTAGCAAGAGAAAATCCACACCAATCCCAGCCTGGCCACAGGACAAAGCAGACAAACATGTCTACTCCTATTGCTGCCAATGTCCATTCCCATTGAACCAAATAGGACATTCATGTTTGCAATGCATCATCTGCAACAAGGGATCAGTGCCCAGCTGAAGCATCAAGGGACTCAGAAGGGACAAGCCAAGCACATACGGCAAATTATGAAGGGCTGCCATTGCCCTCCCTAGCACTGACAGAAGCAAGAGGAAACAGTAGCAGCTCCTAAAGGGATCTCCCAAGGAAAGGTAGCCCCTCAATCATTAATACAGTGCAGGGCTAGAACAAGCTGTTCTAGTCACATTTTTGACATGGTGACTAGATCAGTCAAGATCATTACATATGTGTCATAATCCTGGACTACACTTCCCACTCTCCAAATGGCAATCAGGTTCTCATTTATCCCATCTGGATGATGTAGTGAAGAGCATCTGGTGACTTGGGATCTTCATTGGAGGCAGTAAAGTCTACACCCACCTGAACAGGCAACATGATGGCAGCAAGTCACTGATATGTCAGCACAAACAAATTAGAACAAACTGTATCCAGAAACAGGGGGGTAGCTCAGGCTCACGCAGTTCCTTTTATCCCAGGCACACAGCAGCCCTACACAGGGACATGCACACAAGCCTGCACCCCTTTTGCCACTTAGGTACAGGTATTTTTAAACCATAGCAATCCTTTCTACTGACAAACTGAACCAATTGCTCAAAAGAAGTTTAAGAAGCCCTAGCTCCATTAAAGTGCTACTTGATCACAAAAAGCAAAAATACAGTATCCTTTAGTGTTTTGCAAACTTCATCACTGCAAATTCATACTGCATTTGAAGTCGCTCATGCTGCCAATAAAAGTACTGAACATAACCTACTGCTTTTGTCCTGTCATCTACCAATACAAGCAGTGAGTAACAACTCACCATAAAGTTAATCTGGCAGCCTCCCACCACATCCAGGAAGTCCAGAAATGGATAACCTGTCTCAATCTAGAGGAACAGAAAGACATTGTAACATATACTAATTTCTCTATGATCAGAAAATAAAAAAGCAAAAAATCCCAATGAAAATTGTCCTACCTTGCAGGATTTTATGGCTTAAAATATGCCAGAGTTTTTGTAGGGTTTTTTTTTGTTTGTTTTTTGTTTTTTGTTTTTTCTCAGGATGAATGCATCCTACAGAAAGCAAGCACAGAAGCAAATTCCAAAACCAGCCTTTATAGGAGAGCAAATTATTGAAACAGACAGTGTCACACATCCCACAATTTCAGAGTTACCAAAATACCCAGCAGAATTAAGAAATCTATTTTTGAAAGGTCTGCAACTACTTTGGCTGCGATCTGACAAGCTAAACAGGGTGCTTTTGCCACCAGCACTGGGCAGAGGAAGCAAAAATCTCAGGGTGGGGAGGCTAAAAAAGCCTAGGCCATAGGTTTCCAGTGGCAGTGCTTCCCTGCTTGGATGCATTTGCATCGGTTCTGAATTCACAAGGGATAGAAAAAAGGCAAGAACCTTCCACCTACTTTTGTATTATGCCTAATCAAGCCGGCTGGCAGCCGGAGTAGTCCTGGGCTACGCCCTGTGTGCAAATAGAGCTGCCTCAATTCAGGTGAATCTCAACCTCCAGGAGAATGAGATATCAGGTTTTCACTGCAAACAAACCAAAACCAGCACCACCAGCATGTGACTCAACTTACTCTAGACTGGATGACCAAGACAAGTGCCCCTTGGAAGGACTGCTGTTAGCTGGCAAGGTGACCAGAATGCTCAGGAGGGTGACCAGCTCCAGCACACACATTATGTAAGACAAGCTGTGCTTCTGAACTCATCTGTTACAGCACCAACAAGCAACTCTATTGAGGCCAAAGCAAGCTGAACAGCTGGGACAAGTAGCTCAGCGGACAACAGGCTCAAGGATATTTTTAGAAATAGGAATGGTAACAGAACCCAAAGAAAACAAAGAAATCTAATTCCCACACCAGTTTTTGTTCTTTTTAAATGTTGGCTTAGTGTCGTGGTTTGACACGGAAAAAGAATTTTTCTCGTAAGGAAGAGGTCAATTTGGATATTGACCAATTGAAGGTGGACACCCCTCTGAGAACACAGAGGGGTTAAAAGCAGGATTCCCAGGAGAACTCTCTCTCTTTGGTTCTGGTCAGCGGTCAGTGCAGGACTCTCCCCTGCCCGGCACCGAGCTGGGTGGGAGTTGGAGCCTGGGCAGTGAGCCATCCTTGGGAGTCGGGACTTTTAACCCTACCTTGAGAAAATGAAAGCTTTGTGAAATTTTTCTCCTCCTTGGTTTGAAAAGAGAGGAAGAGAGACAGCCTGGGACCCTGGGATGTTGGAAGGAGAAATTCTAGGTGGGAGGAGATGATGGAGTGGCTTTTGGCTGGACTTTTTCTTGGTAGCCACAGACTGAACCAATCTTCTCCTCCAAGAGAATATGTATTTTAGGAGGATGCCGGTGAGCTAAAGAGACCTGCTTCAGCTGGGAAAAGACAGAAGTGGAGCGAACAGAGAAAAGTTAAAGAGGTTTGTGGTGGTGCCCCTTGTCTTCAGAGGAGAAGAAGATCTCTGTTCTTGGACCCTCGGCCCCAGGGGAAAATGGGGGGGACTGTGGTCCCAAAAATAAAAAACTGAACTGTTGTTTTTTCCCCTCTTGGCAGGGCATCCTTGAAAGGAAAAATCCTAAAAAGCAGTCTGTCCATCCATGCATTGGTGGTGAGAGCACTGTGCATGGAAAAGAGAGGGTCACCATGGCAAACTTTTTTCTCCGGGCAGTGCCATGTGTGACATGGAAGCACAGGGTGTGGCAGCTGTGTTTCTTGGGGGGTCTGTGGCACAGGAGAGGCTCCTCTCTCCCTCGATGGACTGAGTATCAATTGTCTGGAGGGTGGAAACCTGATTGGGGTCCAGGTTGTGTCTCACTGTGGTTTGTTGGATTTGGGTGGTGGGAGGAGGAATGCTTTGGAAGGTTTTCATTTTCAATTCTGCGTGTGTGTTTTTTTTCCTTTCTTTTTCCTTTTATAGTAGTCTAGTAGTAGTAGCTTAATAAAGTTTTCTTCCTTGTTATTAAACTTGGGCCTGCTTTGCTCTGTTCCCGATCGCATTTCACAGCATGCAATTGAGAGATTGCATTTTCATGGGGACACTGGCATTGTGCCAGTGTCAAACCATGACACTTAGTAATACAAAAATACACATATTTGGAGGCAACAACTAAAAGTGCATGTCTGAGCTCAATATTAGAAAGGGCTTGAAAGCCTGAAATCTGGAATAAGTTCGCAGGGGCTGAGGAAGCTCACCAGGGAGCCAGCACCAGCTGTCTGCACAAGCGCCAGGGTAGTTTCCGAAGTGCCTATCAAGTCATGTCAGCCATGACTGTCATGATCTGCACGCTGTACCTGAAAGGAGGAGGAAGGAGGCAATGGGCAGACATTCTGCATTAGGGAGACTGGCCACGGCTCACTGCCCCATCTCTTGTCTGACAGCTCTGCATCAATGCTGAACTCCCCCATGCCATCTGGGGATGTTGGACTGGGGATGTTGGCCACATCACTAACTGAAACCCAGGAGCCACGCAGCCAGGGTGAATCTCAAGAGAGGAACATGTTCACTTCCTCACTCATTTAAGTATGCATGGTGTAAACTTAAAAAAAAAATCTTCCCCTGATTTAAATGTAGGAGGTTAAATAAATAAATAAAGATTTAAAAGAAACATTAAAACTCCCCAACATTTCATAGTCCAAATGTGTAAATGTGAGGTCATTCAGGACAAGATACTGGGGTAATGGGAACAAGCAAATTAAAACTTTAAATCTAAGCTATGCTCTTTTTTTCTGTCCAACAATAGTACCAATTTACAAGGAAGTTCTAATTTCCATGGAATAGTAAGACTGTCTCTTTCTGCATCTTATACCAACCAAATTATAAATACTTTATTAATAAACAGTAATTTTTATGTCAGAATGACGGCTTCAGAATTAGATAATGCAAAATAGCAATGCATTTACAAAAAAAATATACTAGTAATTGGTTTACAGCAACATGGTGTCATAGTTCTCCACAAAATCACCAGTAAGGAGCATTTCTAACATGTTCAACTGCAGAACACGAGTAATTCCAGAAGCAGTCAACTAAGGGACAGTTGTAAGCAGCTGCCTCCTCCTCCTCTGAAGCTCACATGCCACACAGATTCAGGAACTCTCTGAGATCTCTCTTAAGAAATCAAGAAGTTTATGTTACTCCAGTATAAACCACAGTGCCAGCTTTCTCCTAAGGACAATGGGACAAGATGAACCCATGTGTAACACCCGGATAAGGATGTCAAATTCAATGGCTAGATATCTGAATTTGACACAGAGTTCTTTAAAGAACTATTCAGATCTGCTGGGTTCCACTGGTATCAGTGGAAAACCCATACATACAGGCAGGTGAATTATGGCTTAATCTAGTCACCTAAATGGGAAGCACCATGGCATCCTTCAGTGTCTTAATGGCAAAAGATACCACAGAGACTGTTCCTCCTTCTCCTCCTCCATCCTTCCCACCTCACTACTGCTCTTCTCATCTAGACACTCCAAAATGAAGCAATTCCCACCCCTCCTGCCTGAACTTTACTCGGCTCCTCCCAACAATTCTGATGTTTGCACATCACCCAAAAGTGACTGGATCATGCCAGAGAGGCCTCCTCTTGTGCAGAAGCCTGGGTGCAGACTCCCAGTGAAGGGTCTCCTTTATGCCAGTACACCTGGAGAACTTCAGGGAATCCAGCTGCTGCCATCTCCACACACCTTGTCTCCCCTCCTTCCTGCTCCCAACTCCCCTCATAGCCATGCCAAGGACCAGTTCAGTTATTGGTTCACAACATGGTATGGCTTAAAACAAACCCCTCTTTACAAGGGTTTTTTTCTAAGACAGGCCAAGATTCACTGCAGGCAGCCCAAAGAGTGGTGCTGCTGCAAACAAAACTCTCCAATACTGCAGGACACTGTATAGATTATTTCTTATTTCTTCACAAATGAACTCTCCAGTACTCATTACAAGCCATGAAATACAGTCAGCAAGGAAAAGGCCCCTTTCGTCTACAGGAAGAACTTCCAAAATCCATAGAAAATTATTTTGCTTTTGTGTATATGCCATGAAACCTGTGAATACCAACACCTACAAATTTCTATTTTTCTACTTCTATTTGCTACATTTTCCATTTCATTTAAGTAACTATGGAGCTGAGCTGCTGCTTTCCCTTATTTTTCACAAAACTGTCACAAAGATTAGCCTGTGTCACAAATATGAGCTGTTCCTAACACAGAACAAGGAGAACATCACTCTGAATCACAATGAAGAAAGAATTACCATAATACTAGGTAGCATTTGATCAAAAGATTTATGTTCACACACATATTCAGCATGCAATCCTTGTATACAGCTGGCAAAGTTGTTGTTTAGCAGATATACCAAAATGGCTCCAAGGTAAATTTTTGGAAGCCTCAAACAATAGGTTCCAAGGGACAAATTCCAAATGAAAACTAAAACAGTAGTGCAATATTATATACTTCAGTGTTGTTAGTGAAACTCCTGAGTGTCAGTCTAGACTCCTCTGATGAACTTCCCCAGCATGTTAAGGATATCATCTGCCTATGCATCAAGAATTTTGGCTTAAATGAACTAACAGAAAAAAGCTATCCTTTTGAACTAGTTCATTCTGAAGCAGATTCCAAAGCACAGAAAGCTTCTAAAAAACAAACAAAACAATAAAACAAATATTTTTGGGCTATAGCAAATATAGCCCCACAAAACAGCATGTGTAAACCATGTCATGTCAGTTCTAACAAATGACAATATACACCTCTTAGTCACCTCCTCTATATGCTTGCTGCACACTTTTGAATGAAGGTGACTTCCTTCTGACCTAAGACTGTTGATTCCCCACCAGTAAGAGCTCACAAACACCGCTTAGAACACTGCCACCTATCAACAAGCCCAGCACACCTGTTGGAGGTTTGGATTTTTCCTTTTTCTTCTTTCTCTCAAGGAATTCTTCTCCCATTTGTTGCCTAAGAGAGACAAAAGATGTGGCCAAGATGGGGAGGAAGGGGCAGCGGGTGTAGTTGGCTGCAGTCTTTTAGCTGGGTAGTGAGCTTGGTAGCTGGAGGGGATTTTCTCTTGTGAAGTATAGAGATACCAAGACTTAACTGGGGGCCAGGGCCTGGGCTCAGCCCTCTCTTGCACTCTCACTCTTTGGATCAGAGGTCCTGCTTGTGGTTTTGGTGCTGGACTGGTTGTGGTTTGGTGCTTGAGTGCTGCTGCCCAAAGGTTTCACCACTGTGGAGTTTTGCTCTTCACTGCTTCTCCTTACCCTGGATGAGCCTCTGCTCATAAGAGCAGCCATTGAATTGGGACCTTTTCAACAACCGACCTCACTGGGAGAGACCCTCAAGTACTTGGGTGCCTCAGGGGAAACCCAGGACCCCTCTCCCCTTCTGGAGGGAGCACCTCCCAGCTGCTTGTGGGAGCCTGGCTGCCGCTGCAGGACCCCTATTGCTTCTGCCACAGCTTCAGGCTTTTTGCTACACTTTGTCACAGGGAGTTACACAGGGGTCTGCTCACCTCTGCTGTTCCAGCCTGCTGTTCTGAGGTTCCTGCTACAGTCCAGCTCGCCACCCAGAGTGGCAGACACCCGCAGGGACCGGCTGCTTCCTGTGAGTTTGCCAAGGAACCCCTTCTCCATCCCTTCCGCCGGCCCGCCGCCATTGCCGTGCGCAGAGAGGCGGCCGAGCTGCGCCACAGCGCCCCCTGCAGCCGCGGGGGAAGCATCGCCCCCGCGCTGCCCGGCAGCCAGCGGCGCCCCTGCTGGCTGTGCCCGGAACTGCGCCGCGGGGGAAGGGCCTGAGCCGGGACAAGGCCGCGCCGGGTCTGTGCTCTGCCGGGCTCGGTGCTTGTTTGCCCGGCTGTACACACACACGCTGTAAGGAACTGCTATTTCTTTTCCCCTATCTTTGCCTGAAAGCCCCGTAATTTCAAAGTTATAATAATTTGGAGGGAAGTGGGTCATATTTTCTATCCCAGGATGGTTCCCACCTTCCTTGGCAGAAATTTGTCTTGTAAACCAAGACAACACCTGTACACTTATTTCCAGGTTAATAATCTCAATAATTATTAGGAACTACCATACTGCACAAAGAACAACATTAGCATGCATGCATTTTGATAAATCTTCCATATCAAGCTTTCAGCATGAGATTTCTTCAGAGGATGAAGAAGTAAAATTCTGCAAATGTAAAGCATTTACGTGTTAGAAAAGTAGAGAGAAATTAATACTCATCCAGAATAATCTATGGATTAAAATGCCTTTAAATTATCGATGTATTGCTTAGAAGAAAAAATAACATGTTAACTTGCTATCAGATTTTCTTTTGTAGAAACACATTAAAAGATGTAGTTGTTCTGCTACACCTCCACAAGCCAGGGCCACAGAGAATTAGTTATAATATACAAGACCACAGGGAAATGCAGTTCTGACTCAAAACTAAATTTCTACTTGAAACAAATAGAAAAAGAGTTGGGAAAACCTTCCAGTCTCTTGAGTGGATAAATCTGACAGATACCTCAAAGTCCTCTCTGTGTTAGTATCCCAAGGCACTTAAGTTTGTCTGACATCTGCAAGTTTCCCAGTTAACTTCGAAACAGTGCTAGAAAGCCACAATGAAAAAAAACCCAACCAACCAACCACCCAATCAAAAAAGACATCACCACCAAAGCTCAACTTGAAACACTGGCCAGAATACTAAAAAAACCAGTTACAATTCTCCTTATGCCTAACCACTGGAAACTGTGTCACTTCTGCATTTCCTGACTTCTCAATCTGACAACTCATAATATTTTAAAACAGACATATAATCACTTATCTGCCACACTACAATTCTAGAAAGGCAATCTAATAACTTAAATATAACTAGACAACCTGATAACTCATAGTTAGCATGAACAGAAAATGGATAACTTGGAACAACGAAGAGAATTTCTAAAGGCTGTACCTTAACAGGTTTATTAAAATCTCTACCACAGAAAGTCTGCAAGGAAACAACTGAACTTCCTCCAGCATGGATTTAAGTTGTTCTTTATGACCTTAAAAATACGACAGCATAATGTCACATGAGGAATACAGCATGCAACTCACTAGGAATGATGACAAGAGGGCTCTTCATGGCAAGTTAAGAACCTCAAGTTAAGTCTCAACCAGTTCAACCCTGGCACATATCAATGGCCAAGCAACAGCTCTGCAAGAAATAAAAGCTTGATGCTCTCAGTGAAGTTAAATTTTACAGGCAAGCTCAACACCATTGAGAAGAAAGAGAGACCCTCTTCTCACTTGCTGCCTGTAATCAGACTCCTTACTCAGGTAGCTCCATCCAGTGACCAGCCAGCAAATAAACAATTTGCTCCAGCCATAGTGAGCAGAATACCTTTTAATAGGATACTTTCTCTGAAAAGCTGGTGCAAAGCATGAGTAGAAGTGGGACTCTCACTCTGAGTAAGAATAAGCTGTCTGATCAACTCAAGGAAAACATTGTGCGGAAATTCTACCATGTTGCAGAATTTCTGAGAGAGAGGGCATGATTTATGTCTGGAATGAGATTTGAACTACTCCAGCCTAGGCCTCAGATAAGGGCCTTGTGAGGCCCTGAAAGCCTTTCGCGTAGTAAGAAATTAGTTGTAGCGCAGTTAGAAATTATGTTAAGGTAACCACAAAGTAATGAGCTATCTGAGTGTGAATTAGGGTAGAGCTGCAGTGTGAAAAGCCTGACCACCTTAAGGCAAAGGTAAACAATGTTGGCTTGCCAATGAGAGTGCCTTTGTAAACTATATGGAAGTGTATATAAAATGCCATCTTCTCACTAATAAATGAGAACGTAGCTTTAACCATATTGGCTCGATCTGTGTTTGTCCAGTCCAGCTTCCCTCATATTATAAGAAGTCCCTGCTGATCCGTACACAAGCTGCCATGCTCCAGCATCGCTCTGCTTGTCAAACTCCAGAACTGGATCAAATTTACCTAAGAAATCCTGCATACAAAAACCAAGAAGTAATCAGCCTCCTCTATATTTCACCAAAATGAGTAAAGAAATAATTAAATAGTACACAATACTTCAAAAAATAACAAAGTCACAGAAACTATGCATTAATTTTCTTTCCTCACTTTTATTTTCCTTTTTAAAACTGCTGCACTCTGTAAGTGATCAGCATGTATCAGCTCCAAATCCAAGATCTCCTCAAACAACTTTTGTCCCTATAAATCACATCATTTTGCTAACTCAGAGTTAGGTGACTAAATCACTGTATTGGTCAGAACATCTAAATTTCCACCTTTTCTTCTTTAACAAAAATATAGAATTATCAGTTCACTTGAGACCATTATATAAGTGATTTGTATTCATATACAGAATATTCCAAAGCCAAAATAATACCTTAAAACCTAAACCTGGCAGTTGAGTTTCTAGTTTGACATTGTGGACTTCAACATGAAATTGTATCTCCAACTTACTCCACTGTAAAAAACACAAAACACAGCGAAGCCTTTGCTCACAAACGGATTACCGGCTTAGCTGAATGTCTGCAAACACAGAGATTCCTGGCCAAAGGTACAAAATGTAACTACTAGAGAAGCATGCAAGATATTTTTTTTTTAATCATTACATTTTTGTCCAAGTTTTGGGCTTCAATTTCCAGGTATACAACCCTGGTACCTGCTGAAATCTCTGCCGTGGAAATTTAGGGGGGGAAATGTAAAAAAGAAGTCACAGAGTTTTGCTATATTTTGTCCATAAACTGTAGTTTCTTTTAAATAACTCTCTCCTGTATATATGTAGCATTTGAAGATATATTGAGAAGAAACCAGAAAAGCCACTTTATCCCAGACAACATATTGAGAGAGTTTTTTTTCAAACAAAAACCTTACCTACTGTAATAGTGCCCTTTCCTGCTGGCTTTCCCTGCTTCAATTCCAGCAGTCAGGTGAACACTGAGCTAGACACAACCTCAGATTAGAAGACAGATAAGAAAATTATCATTAAAGAAAGAATTACTCTCCATGTGCAAAGTTTTCAACCTCTCATAAAAGTTCTAAAACTATTTAAATGTATTTCCAACAGTGACAGCCATCAGTTTGTGCTCCTGAACAGTCTGAAAATCTTCTCTCACTATCCAGGAAACAGTGCCCACAAACATGTGTCCAAACTTGACTTTAGCTTCCTGTTTTTGCTATCTCTTAGACACAAGAGGCATTGCCATCACAAGCAGCCAAAAAGCTACTAAATCTTAAAATATTAGTTAATTTATCAAGTCTTTCTTTAATAATATGAATCCCACTTTTCTTCTATAAAGCTATACAAACCCCTTCTCAGGAAATGAACACAGAATCTCAAGTAGCCTTATTTTCCCCTGATTTACTACCTGATGGTCACTTTGTGCAAAGAAAATTCCATGAGAGTCCTCCAAGCACCATGCTTCCTTACTCCTAGACTGCCTTTAGTGCTACAAGTGCCTCCTAAGTTAAGCAATTAATTACAAAATACATGTATTTCTAACCTTTGCTTTGTGATCAAAATAATTATTTTTCTAACAACGTTCAACGGTAACATAAACAAACATGTTTAACAGTGTTTTCAAATTTTAATATTGTTGAAGCCTTTGACAAAGCAGATTTTCACGTAATTTTTCATAATAAATCCAACTCTTGCTGCTATTTTGTACATCACTTAACATGTCTACACGTACCTGTCCCAGTGTGCACTCAATCCCTCCCAGGTAGTCATCATCATTTAAATCAAAGGACTTGCTATCAATATCATACACGCTGAATTTCAGTTTCCACACTTTCTCAAAGTAGTAGTCCACAACCAGCTTCTTTCTTTCACAACCAGCAGAATTCAGGGTCTTGGCAGTTCTTGAACTTTTCAGTGCGATCTAGCTGCACAAACACGGGAGCAAAGCTGTTGACAATGAGTAAGAAGCCCATATTCTCCCACACAACTTTTTACCTGCACCAGATGGACACAGGCACCAGCAAGGCGACACACCCTGGACCATGCCCCGTGCTCAGTGACAAACTGGGCTGACCGATGGATCACCAAGAAAGGAAATGGCATTGAAAAACACTATTGTATGGGGAAATTCTGAAAACTAGGGGGGAAAGACTGCTGAAACAATGTATTCTGGAGTGCGTGGTCTAGGGCAAGTCATATTGTCACAGGCAAATGAGCTTCCTGATGCAACTATGAGCAAACAAGTCAGCAGTTAAAGAAAACACTGAAGGTTTGAGTGTGAGCAATGGGACTGCTCACTAACCGTAAATCTGAATTAAGTATGTCATACACCTGCCAGGAAGACCTACGGGATGGAAAAGGGGAGACTAGGCATGTTTACAGCCACCGGCAGCGCGCGGCCACAGGCCGCTCTTACCTCAGCCCAGCGGCCATCGCCCGCGTCCCGCAGCAGGACGCAGAGGGGGTCCGACCTGGAGCTCAGGTCCCCGTGGAGGCGGCTCCGGCAGGCCACAGACAGCTCCATCCGGGATACGCACGCGGCCATCTGCGGGCAGAGCACACCGTCAGACGGCCCGGCCCGGACCCCGCGTGGCCCCGGTGCGGCGGAGCGGAGGCACGCGCGGGCGGGGCGGGGCCGCGGCCCCCGGCGCTCCGCGGCACCGCCCGCCCCGGGCCAGGCGGGCGTGGAGGGGCGCGGTACCTCCGCGTAGCCGGGCACCAACTGCGGCCCGCCTCGCCCCTCGGCTCTTGAATTCACCTATTTCTACCAGGCTATCCCCGCTGCTCCGGCTCCCCTCGCAGGAGCCCTTCCCTCTGCCTCGGTGCGTGCTGCTGCCTCAGGTTTCTACAAAAGGGCCAGGCGTGTTGTCCCCGCCCCGGGACCGTCGCTCACAGCCCTGCACAGTGACCGGGACCTCCGTCCCGCCAGCGCCGCAGCCACCGCCCTGCGCCTAAGAGTGGCCCCACGTGGTGAAAGCACTGCCAAAGCACCCCCTGCTCACCCATGGAAGCCACAGAGCCCCCGTGCTTTTGCCGTGCTGGCTTCCAAAACGCCATAACATCATCCCGCAAACAGGGGATAACTAAATTTTATTAGACATTAAACTGCAAACATTCTGTTTGAGGAACAGCTATAATTCTCAAAACTGAATTAGAAGATAAACCTTTAAGCACCAAAATATTACAGAGACTGGACAGTTTGATGACTAGAGTTTGAAATGGGATTATTTAATAGAGAAGCTTCTTCTTCTGAGTCTGGAAAATAAGGAAATACTTGCTTTGGCTTTTTAGTGCCCAAGTACCCCATGGCTTCCTCATACTTGCAGGGTGAATATATTTAACTCAAAGAGTTGAGCTTTTATTGTACAATATTTAATCCCTTGGGCATCCCAGTCAGCAATCTATCCTGGACAAATGTTAACACAGTCACTTAGTACACCAGTGTGTGGCACTCAGGTGCTCTAGTGATGGTGGCAGGAAAAACCAGCACTCAGTAAAAATTAGCAAAGCTTTAGGCAAAGACAATCATTGTGCAGCTTTCAATCAAGGTCATCATCATCACTTGGTTTAACACCAGCATATTTTAAAAAACTTGTTTGAAGTACTCTGGTGGTCAGCTGTTAAAACTACTGGCAGAAGCCATCAATTTTCTACTTAGTTGCCTTCAACCCCAAGTAAAATTCACAAAGAAACCACTGACTTTAATAAATGCATTTCTTGTGTTCCAAGTCACAGCTATCAAGTTTTTTCTTTACTGACACATATCATTCCACCAGACCAGCTTTCATCTCACACAGACTCACATG